ATTCATATCATAACAAAAATAAAAACCGGTATTCGGTACAAAACGGTATACCGCCCAGCACTAAGAGATTCTTAATCCTGAAAAAAAAACCTCTTTAATCCTTTTTAAACGTTAAAAGTTGCATCTGTCAGGTTTTTACTTCTAAAATCACATTTTAATCACTTTAACAATGAATGTCCACCTTTGACAAGACGTCCTCACAGGTCTGGATCCGGGACCGGAGCAATTCCTCACCGTCCGGATCAGAACCACCAGAACCTCCCTTCCTCTGCTGAACCTGCCGGTCCGCCTCGGTGTCCGTCAGAACCTCCTCTTCCTCCGGGTCTCGGTCCGTCGGAACCTCCTCTTCCTCCGAGGCTCGGTCCACCAGAACCTCCTCTTCCTCCGAGGCTCGGTCCACCAGAACCTCCTCTTTCTCCGAGGCTCGGTCCACCAGAACCTCCTCTTCCTCCGGGTCTCGGTCTCGGGCGGAGACATCCACCGAGGCGTGGGGCTCCAGGTGTCCGGGTTGAAGCCCCCTCCACTGGGTCTTCAGCTCCAGGACCTCCAGCTTCTTCAGCACAGCCAGCAGCAGCGCGTGAAGGGCGCTGAAGTTGACCGAACTTTTCTGAGCGGTTCCGATGGATAAGTTTAACAACTCGAACAAACTGAGGTTCTCCTCCGACATGTTGAAAAATAAAAACAACCTGTTAAACTAACCGTTAGCTGCTAAAGTTTCTGCTGCTGTCTGTCAGCTCTGATCAAATAAACACCATAAAAACACCAAAGGTTATGTTCAAAATAAATTAAAACTTATTTTTGTTTCATCGTGAACGTTACCGGGTCGGTTACCGGTGTTACACCGGGTCACAAATTCCAACGAAGTGTAGAAGCGGAGATTAGCTGCTAAGCTAACAACAATTACCGGAAGTGTTTACTTTGTGTTTCAAAATAAACTTCAAACACGATTATTATACGTATTTCCAAACAAAATCATCAATTAATTAAACAAAATTTGGTACCTAAATACATTTACACAAAATTAGGATATTTTTAAATATCAAAATGTAAACATGGTGACATTATAGATTAAAATTGGGAATTTAATACTTTTGTTTTTAAAACTGAAACCGGAAACACAATTTGTAGTGTATCGAGATGTGTCACCAGTTCTGTCAATCACAACAATCTTCTTCTTCACTGTAATAACATAGAAGACGGGAAAACAGCGCCCCCGGTGGTCAAATAGTGTATTACATCCGCAGTGTTAAAAACTACCATAAAGAATGAATAGGAAAAGTTGAGTTAAGCTTAACTATTTTCGGCACCTGCCTAGAAAGTGTCCATAGGGAATGATTTTTATTGCCCCCAATGAGACTATAATTAGAGGAGTTGGTAATACCGATTATCACCAGCAGGGGGAGTATATATTAACATGCTAGGAATGCAGAGTCAGACTGTACAGCCCTGTGACTGCAAATAAATAAAAACCTGAGCTTTAATCACTGAAAAACATTTCAAAATCAATTTAAAATGGTCAAAACCATTGAAAAGCACACAGAACAAAACAATGCATGGCAGGCTGCGTAAATAAGCATTTTACATTGTTTATTAAGAGGAACTACTTTGTGGGGTGAATGAATATTGTTTTAGGTGGACCTGCCCTTATGGACGAGCCGCGCCTGRTTTGTGGTATTTAGAAGTTGCTGCTCATTTAGGTAATAAAGTTTGTTTTCAGTACAAATCATCATGACTCATTTTGTCTTGGTTTTTAATTAGCAGGTCAATTTGACCCAGAACAGAATAAGTCTCAAGTTCAATTATAAACATCACTCTCAAATATACTGTATATACATACATACATACATACATACATGTATATATACATACATACATACGTACATATATGTATTAGGGATGCAAGTTATCGATTAATGAATTAATCTAAAGTTGATTGATCTTATCGATCGACTAACGATTAGTTGATAAGCAGCAATTATCCTCAAAACCTGAGTTTTCATATGTTCTATAACATAGACTGCATTTTTGTTGCTGAATTTCAAAAAGCATTTATTGTCAGCTGTATCAAATACTGCTTGAACAAACAAAACATCTCACATATTACACATA